CAGTCAGGCAGGTTGTGTGTGCACACCGGCTGTCAGGGAGGTTGTGTGTGCACACCGGCTGTCAGGGAGGTTCTGTGTGCACACTGGCCGTCAGCGAGGTCGTGTGCACACCGGCTGTCAGGGAGGTTGTGTGTGCACACTGACAGTCAGGGAGGTTCTGTGTGCACACCGGCTGTCAGGGAGGTCGTGTGTGGTTCCAGCTGTCTCAGGCTCTTTGCTCTCCTCTCTAACAGAATCCGTGGCTGCTGTCTCGCGGCCGGCCCATTTCCCCAGCCCAGTGCTTTTATTTTTAACTGAACAGCTTTGCCGGCAGGTGGCCCCTCGTGGCCCTCATGAGCTGCTTCCTGCTCCAGGGTCTGTGTTTGAGACGTGGAAAGGTCTGCTTGGGCCATGAGGGCGATGTCCCCCTAGGGCAGATCCACGGCCCGGGCTGAGCAACTGTGGCTCTCCCCCACGTCCTGCCGGGGCAGCCTAGGCCTGAGTCCGGCCTGTTCTGCTTTGACTTTTCCTGTTTAGTCCTTTTCAGGACATCCCACAGCAGGACTGCAGCGGGACGAGGCTTCCGCAGCCTGTGCCCACAGCTGCGGGGGGGGGGGCAGCGGGGGGGCCACGGTCTCAGCAGCCCTCTGTTCTCCGGGGGCCTGAGCCGCCAGGGCCGCGTGCTCACCCCTGGGCAGGGGGACGGGGCGGGGTGCGGTCCCGGAGCAGGGCCAGCCCCGCTCTCCAGGTGCAGGGTGTGGGCAGCAGTGGGAACGCCTGCTCCTTCCGGTCCCGTTTGCTCTCTGCCTGTGTTCCTCAGTCGGGGAGGTGTGCACAGCTGGCCATTCAAGCATTATCTCCTAGTCTCAGGCCCTAAACATCCATATGGGACATTTGGAAACGTGAGCACGGTGTGCGCCTGCGATGCTGCTGTTTTATGTAAAGGCAGGAACGTCCCGCATGGACGCTGTGGCACACAGCCCTGGGTGCTGCGCTGTATGGTCTGCATTTCAGGGGACATTAGGTCATTGTCCGTCATCATGGGCCCAACTGGATTCTTCTTCTTTTTTTTTCGTCAGTCGTGGGCTTGAACTCTGGGCCTGGGCGCTGTCCCTCAGCTCTTCAGCTCAAGGCGAGCGCTCTACCACTTGAGCCACAGCGCCACTTCCCATTTTCTGGTGGTTAATTGAAGAAAAGAGTCTCATGGATGTTCCTGCCTGGGCTGGCTTTGAACCATGATCCTCAGATCTCAGTCTCCTGAGTAGCTAGGATGACAGGCGTGAGCCACCGGCGCCCAGCTCCAACTAGATTCTTGAGATGAAGGAAAGAAAAATCTCCTCAGCTGTAATGATACCCACACTCATGCAGGGTTGGGGGAGTCGTGAGGATTCTGGAAAGCCTGTGTGCTGCTGGGTGGGGCTGCCCTGCCCTGACACCTCCCCCGCCAAGAACTCTCACAGCTCGGGCTGGAGGCTCGGGACCGAGGGGTTCCTGTGAGATGCTGTGGCCTCCCGCCGCTGGCCTGGCCTGAGCTCATGTGTCCCCCCCCGCCCCCCCCGTGGTGACCTGGTCTGACTCCATTCAGCCACTCTTCAACGGCCCTTCCTCCAAGCTCATCAAGCTCATGGGGGTTAAGGCTCCACAAAGCAGTGTGGAGGGACTTCCTGCATACTGGGCCAGGAAAAACGACACCATGCCTTTAATTCCCCCCCCCCCCATTTTTCACCGGTCCTCAGGAACTCGGGTGTTTGGGGTGGCTCAGTCCCCGTTCTCCCTCCCCAGCCCTCTGTGACGCCACCTGGAAGGCACGCTTGCTGTTTGCTTCCTTTGCTGGGGGCCCTGGCAGTGGCCGGGTGGCCTGTGATCCCCTGGACTTTATCTCCCGGTCACAGGGCTCCTGTGCGGGGCAGGGCCGTGGCATCCGCCGGGCAGTGGAAACGGCCCATGACGCCCACCACCCCACCTGACCATCGGGGCTGCCGTGCCGCGTGCCCACTGCTTGGCTCCAGCTCAGAACGTGTTTCCTGGTCCCTGTGCTGTGTTTCCACGGGCTCACTAGCTGCCCTGGAAACGGCAGGAGGGACGATGCATGAGGTTATTTTACCAGGAGGTAGAGTGACCTGGTCGTGGGGCCGCAGAGTGGCCCCGGGACCCCGGGAAGGCTGGGCTCTCATCCCCCTGGCTTTGGGCTGAGAATTCTCCAGGCGCCCGGCCGCCTGGCTGTCCACACGCTGAGGAGCCCCTGTGCGCCCAGTTCCTTCAGGTCCTCGGGGTGCCGTCCCCTCCCGGTGTCGGGGAGCGAGCCTGAGTTCTTGCTGTAGCTGAACAAGTTGTGTGTGGACTTCACCAGGGTGTTGGATGCAGTTTCACGGTTTGAGAGTTTAGGGCTCAACCAAGTGTTACTGAAGCTTGGGACTAGAGCAGAGATCACAGGGGACTGGCTGAGCCACTCACCCCTGCCAGGGTCAGTTGGTGCTTGATCTCTGTTCTAGTCGGAGGCTGCTTAGCATCTAGGAAGGAACTGGGCTTTTCCCTGCCGCTGAGGACAAGAGCCAGGCCCCAGTGGCTACAGAGGGCTGTTCTGAGCATAGGTAGGAGGTGCTGGGGTGGGGGCCGAGGTGGGGCTCACTGGGTGGAAGGCAGAACCCGGAGCCCTGGAACTACAGCCCCTTGGGGGAGTTTAGGACCTCTTGGGTAAGGGACACACGTGGAACTCTCCGGATCATGATCAAGGACTGAGCCTGAGTGCCGCTCGGCGGACGCACCTCCCTCGGGCACAGCTCGGTGCTGGTTGCGTGCATGCACTTGCTTCTGGTGTGGGGTGGCACCCTTTCTGATGCTGGCCTCTCCCCGGGGCCTGGCGTGGTGCCTCAGAGCCTTGGGAGGCTATGAAGAGAGAAGCC